TGAAAAACTCTCTGACGATCCAATTAGAACCCCCGACTGATAAAGACGCAGACCAGCAGGAGATGGCTGGCACGACGCCAACGCTCGCGCGCGAAGTCAAGAACTTACGTAAGTTCCTCTGAGTGGCGGAGCGTTTAATTGCGTAACGCCGTGTCTCCTGCTTCCCACCGTCTCCTCTCTCTCTGTCCCTCAGGTTTTACAGACTCGTGGCACGGAGACGCTACCGGCCCAGCTCGGCGTCGCAGTGGCGCGCCGAGACGGACTGCCAGAAGATTCCCCAGTTAACCTAGTGGCCCGAGCCTGATCCCGCAGCTGGTGGGCCAACGTCACAGCTCCCTCCAGCACCCGAGCACCATGAAGTGAGTCCACGCTGGAGGCCATCGGAATACATCTGCCAGGACATTACGAGTCATCGACGACCTTCTCCAGTTCCCTCAAATCGATTTATTTATTATAAGTCTGAGTCCGATGTAGATACAGCTTCTTGAGCACAAGGAGACCCATCTATGGTGTTTCCTGGCTGCGGTGCCTTCAGGACCAGAGCTAGCTGCAGGAAAACGCCCAACCAGACCTGACAGCCATCAATCCAGTGGTCATGAGGAAGGAGGAGCCCTAGTAACAACGTCAAACTGGCAGCGACCAAACGCTCTGCTCAACTCCCTGGATTCACCATAAGCCAACTTCGACAAGGAGTACAGACGCACTTCCTGTCCCCCAGAGAGTCCCATCAACCCCCTCCTGTACCCCTCTGGATCCCTCTCTGTATTAATATATGCGGTGATGTTTGATAAACTGTTTTTCTGTTTCAGACGGAGAGACACTTCATGCATGCAGTCGTCTGTGAAGCTAAACAGTGGTCCCGACAATCCAGAGTTGAGTTAACGCCGCGCTCTCCGCCCCTCTCCCCCGTGTTCACTGCGACTGCGATGCTGTAACTGAAGAATGTGTTTTCCAGGTGCGTGGGCGAGCCTTACAGAACCTGGTGAAGATCATTCTCTGTAAGCTTATCAGTACATGGAGACGAATGGGTCCCGCTCCTTTCCGGATAATGTTAACATTTACAACACCTGCGCTCTGCCATTCCATTGCTCCTGCCCCCCCGCCCTCTGGTTCTTCAAACCATCTGCTTCCATCTACCTCTCTAGATCACCAATCGAAGCGATAAGAGCGACATTTCGATGAAGGTGGCCTTGACAGGATTGAGTGCTGTCCAACGTGTGGTGACGAGAGATGGACCTGGCCATCGGGCCATCAGAGGCAAGTGTAAGCAGACATTCATTACAGTAACCGCTTTAAAACTCCAGTCGGTTAAAACCGCCCATCCCTTGACTGTCTCTCTCACCTGTTTGCATTCTCGTCCAAGGTGCAAGGCGCTCGGAGCAGGGCGCCCCCCGGAGCACACGAGTAAGTCAATGCCAAGGGCTTGCAGTACTGGTCCATCCTGACCCAGCTACACCAAACACGGAACACATGTGGACTCTGTCGCCTGTAAAGACACGAAACAGACGATCCCGCCGACCGCCTGCAGCAGAGGAGTCAGTGATTTTCAGGTGGAGTTCTCATTGTTGTCCCATCTTTGGCACATTAAAGACTCGACCTCCGCGGAGCTGTGTCGGATGTTCCACATCGGTTCCCAGTACTGGCCCGCTCCAAATACAACTCGTGTCACATCCTTCTAACATCGACCAGGACAGTGTGGCTGATGATACATGATGATCATACAGTATTTATCAGGTTTCAGACGTCGTCCCGGCTGTAATAACATCTGTTTCTCCGTTCCCAGCTTCAGGAGCATCAGAGTAAGTTTGTCTTCCTCGTATCACCAAGGGGGTGTGATTGGGGGGGGGGGGCTAAAGGGACAGACAATCACAGTCAAACAGGAAGTCTTCCGCCTGCAGCAAGGACTCGTCTATGCCTCCTTCCTTTCTTTCTTCCTCTAACTACAAACTGAACTTGTTGCATGTCGTCTTTATTTGAGCGTTTTGTGTTTCGTCAGCATGATGCTTCCAGTTTCTACTCGCAGGGTTACGTAATTACCCATAATTCAACGTGTTTTTATTGAACAGCTTCATAACTTTATGAGTACAAAGTTTCAGTTATTGAAAATAAAGTCATGTTGTGAGTTAAAGACTCATGAAAGAAAGTTGTAATTTTAAAAGTAAAAAAGTGGTAAAATTACAAAATAAGAAACAAAAATAGTTGTAATTTAACAAGTAAAAAGTATTTCAGAATAAAATGACAATATTAGAAAGTTATGGAATAAAATTAACAAACGTTGAGAAGATACAAATAAAAAGTCACAAATTTGATGAATCATACAATAATCAGTTTTATTAGAATATTTGTGATTTTAATCACTGAAGTAAAACAATATGAGAATGAAGTTGTATTTACAATAAAGTCATATCACAATATATTATTGTAGGTTATTACAATTATAATAGTAATTTTGAAATGTCATAATGTGTAAAAATGTCCAATATTATGAGAATAAGTTGTAATGTTTCACCAAAAAGTCATAATTTAATTATTGTAGTTAGAATTTGTGTTTTTTTCTCATAAAATTACAACTTTATTATTTTGACTTTAATGACTTTAAATTCTGACTTCATTTTCATGATATCGGAACAAATTACAACTTTATTCTCAAAATTAGACGAGTTTATTCTCAGAATCACATGTCATGAGTGAAGGAAAAATAAAAATAAAGCCATAAAAACTGAGAAGTGACTTTATTAATCAGTATTACAAGTTTTATTATTGTTTATTTTACAAGAAAGAATTAATGTATTATTGTAATAGAAATAATAAGATGTCATCTGCATAAAACTTATTTCTTTTTATTGCGACTTCATCTCAAAGTATTATTTTTATTATGAAAATACGTCTTAATTTGATTACGTTTATAAATCCTTTTCTACAAACATGATTTTTGTGATATTAAGACTTTTACTAAAATTTAAATTACAACTTTATTGTCGTGATATTGACTTGTTTTAAATCTTAATTCAGTCGTATAATCATTGCTACGTGTCTTAATAAATCTGAAGCAGATTCAATGATTCATTAATTATTAATTTCCTGTCTCAGTGCCACATCCCCACAGTTTCTAATCATTTCCTGTTTTTCTCATTTTGGCCAAATGTTAAAAACAACAAATATCAATTTTGTGACGTCGCAGCTGATTAATGTTATTGATTATTTTCTGATCTTCAGTCACAGTTAAAGATGTTTCGTCTCTGCTGTCAGATCATAAAACTACGACTTTATCCACGTTCTTCCATCAACCTCCGGTCTGCTCGCACCGTTGTTTGTTTGTTTGTTGAGTTAATGAAAATGTGAGGACGAAGTAAACGACACAAAATACACAAAAAACTATATGAAAGTTAAAATTCAGGAATAAAACGTATTAAAATACGTACAGAAAAGAAGATTTACAGCTTTTTAAAAGTTACATTTTTGAATATTTAGTGGAAAATATTTTTGTTTAATGAATTGATAAATGTACTTTTCTTCCATTATAGATTAATGATGTATTGGTAACCATCTCAGTATTATAACTCTCACACAACTTTATTCTCATTAAGTTTTGACTTTATGTAGTGACTTTTTCTCTGAATCATATTATTTTATATTCGATGTGACACCAGAGCACATTTTTATTTTGAAGATGCCGTTAACGTCTCACCAGACTCCATTCAAAAATCTGCTAATTTAACGTTCTGTTACAAGTGGGGGAACATGATGTGTCTTAGAGCAAAATAAAACAACTGCTAATAATCTTCAGTTTTTTCTGGTCAGTCTGGCTCCTTTGTCTTTGTTCACCACCAGACTCTTTTCAAAAATCTGCTATTTTTATGTTTTTAGCTTCAACTTTGCAGAAATTACCTTTCCAGTAAATGTTTGAAGTCCAGAGAAGAAGTGTAGCTCTTCTTCCTCTCCAGTATTTCACGCTGCAGTTGCACATGTGCAGTAGAGGTAACGATGCATTTTTAACTGCGACAGGAAGTCCTGCCCCCCCTCGCTCGTCTGTTTGCCTTACAAACTGTTTGCTGTGAATCTTGTTCAACGTGAATTGTAAAAAAGCTTCTAAAAGGAACAGAAACATGTTAATAAATGTTAATAAAGTGACTTATTTCCTGTGCTGGAGGACTGACTCTAACTGTAGTGATGATAGTAGCTTTAGACTCAAACTGGGACTGATGGTTGGATCCCAGTTTAACAGCATGCTCTCTCTCTTACTGCTCTCTGTATTTTAACTGCAGCCGTCTGAAATAAACTCCTCTCTTCACTTTCTGACTCCGTGTAATTGTTCACATTGAAGTCCTTTCATTAACTGATCAATACAATCTGATCAAAACAGAGTGAAAATCAATCTGTCACTAAAGGTTAGAAAATCAATAATTAGAGATAGTGTAGAAATAAAGTGCGATCACATCTACAATAAATAAATATAATAATTATTTTATTTCAATAATAACTTCTTGAAATATGACAGAAATGTATAATTAAATCAATAAAATATTTTAAATTAAACTCGTGAACTCGCTGCATTTCTGTCGGTGACCACCAGGGGGCGGGCTGTTATTCTTCCGGGTTCAGAGGTCAGCCTTCCGGAAGCAGAAGAAGAAGAAAACAGTGTGGTCCACATGTGAAAGCTGCTGGTTGCACAAACAAACACAAACAAACACAAACACGGACACGGACACGGACACGGACACGGACGGTCTCAAGCTTCAATCAGCAGTTTTCTGTGGGAACATGGAGGAGGGCAGCGTCATCAAGCTGCCGCCGACGGAGGAGAAAGCAGCGGGAAAGAAAAGGACTCGAGCCCCGAAGTGTAACCCCGAGCAGGAGGCTAAAGTACGGAGGACCAACGTGCAGAGGCTGTCGGTGCTGGGGGCGGAGGACACCTCGGTGAAGCTGCTGGAGGAGCTGGTGTTCGGAGCCGAGGACGAGCTGGTGGAGAGACTCGTGGAGGTAACGTCTCCCACCAGACTGCATTCAAAAATCTGCTCATTTAGTTTCTCTCGTGGTTAAAGTCTGTGCAAAATGTGATGAATCCTAAAAGCCTCCAGTTATTTCTGTTAAATCCGCCTCAGCTAATATCTAACAGTAACTTAGATTACAGGTTATTACTTCTCTTTAAGCTGCTACCAGACTCCATTCAACAATCAGCTCATTTTAGGTTCTCCTGGTTATTATATTAATATATTGATCCTGATGATTTCACTGTATTCGGTCCATTCCAGGGTTCATTAAACACTGAGCTGATTTTCTGTCTCTTGAAGTTCTGATGTCTGAATTACTTCAGCTCACCAGTGATCTCCAAACATCTGATTACGGTGTCAAACTATACTTTTGTGTTTGGTTTTAATGTGTATTTTTAGTGTAAATGTGTGAAACATTAAAGTGAAACTAGTTTGTGAGACAGCGAGTTAATATTTATGGATGTTTTACCAGCAGTGTAATAAACAAAGGAAGATTAAATTTAACACTTTTTGAATGAAGTTTTGTGAGAACAACTAATTTCTGCCAGTAAAATAAAACAAAGATTAAAATATAAAATTATGATTTTTTTATTTTCCATATGAAGTTTTCATCTTTTTATTTTACTGG